TTGTTAAGCAACTTATAAATTACGTGAGACCCACGGCACATTTCAACGATTCCCCCCCCCTCCCCGCAAAAAAAGAAACGCTGAGAAAAGAATCTCGAGGCTCTCTGCACGAGTCCGAGCTTACGGGCGCCCCTTTGACGGGGATTTTGAGAACGCTGCAGTTTCGAGCCGTTCGAGGGAGCAACAATAAAACGGAAAAAAGAGAAATGCGCAGGAGAGTACAAATTGCGCTCGTTTGAATACGAGCGGGCTACTTCGCGAGGCCTAAGAACAGCACTGATAAGTCGAACACTCGAAACGTTCCCCGCGGGACTCATCATTTTTTTGCGCAACGCCGCGAGGTTTTAGCTGAAATTCGTGTAAAACCCAGCCGAAAAAGATCCCGGGTAAATATCCCATTTGACCAGCGAGGCTCCGCTGTCTCTCTTTCTCTCTCTCTCTCTCTCTCTCTCTCTCTCTCTCTCTCCCTCTCACTCTCGGGCTTCGTGTCGCGTGAATTTTTTATTACGGAAAATTCAACACTGGCGCGGCGCGGCTCATTGTTAAGTTCCCTTGTTTCCCTTTTCCGGCTGTTTTAGTCCTCCCCTTTTCGCTATTCTCTCGTCCCACCCCCTCCCGCCGCCCACCATCAGACGTGCACTGTCAATCGAGTTATTCTTATGGGATTTTAGCCAAGCGGCAAAGCGAGCCGTACGAGCCATCGTGACGCGCGCATAATACTATTCATGAGTCCGCATGATTATCGGAAAACTATATTTATCCTGGATACCACATTAAATCCCTGTTTCGACGTTGGCCTTTCATCCGGTCAGCTCCGACCGCGCTTATCCCCACCTCTCCCTTTTTCTCCCGCTCTCGATGGAGGGACGAAGATAAATATCACCGATGATGAAAATAAAACCCTTGACACGGGTTCGACGGGTAGGGCCTTAACCTTGTCACCTCTGTGATCGTCATTTTCCGAGGGATCACGGATTTCGCGTATCGACATGCGCGCGCGCGTACACACACACACACACACACACACACGTATACTCGCGCGCGCATATGTCGAACGCGCTACGTCGGACTAAATGGCAGCATCTGCATCTTTTATAAGCCCGGCGTTATCCGCATCGCTGGGCGCACTTGGCCGATGCTCTCTCTCTCGTCTACATCGACGAGATCGCGTCCACCGACGCGTGTCCGTCGGCGCAAGTGCGCGCTAAACGGATACCGGTCGTCGATTTATCGCCGTTACGTATCGTCCCCGAAACGACGTCGGATCAAGCTCGATGGCCGGAGTATGCGGTCAATCGTCCCATTTATTACGCGACACTGATACGCCGATGAGTATCGGCATGAATTTAACTAATAATCGGCGGACGAAGATACATTGGAGATACGCTAATCGACGTCGATTCCGTTCCGTCTGGCGATCGATCGCGCGCTGGCTATCACGAATAATTTGTCACATCGCGGCTAACCGTTGCTTCCGCAGTTTGCGACGCGACGCGACGCGCCGTTGCGTTCGGGGGAGGCTCAAGTCGTTTCATTTAGACTTGAGTAATTTCATTTTAGATGTTGCTCACGCAGGATCTCGAAAATGGTCTCGAAAATGGGCGCAAGTGCGATATACTTTGGTAGTCCGTTATTATAGCGTCCCGTTATTATAGCGTCCGTGGTCTGATGTTATATTAAGATCGTTGTAAGTAACTTTCGTTACGTAGCATTTCAAAGTTTCGATAATAATAATTAACAGGAAGGACTTTCAGTCACAAAATTACACAAAGCGTCAAGAATGCCGCGAGGACAAAAATCAAGAATTGTAAAGTTAACAAAGAGAGAAGGAGAGTAAAACTCTGAGAGCAAAATACAAAATGATGCAAAATGTGTGTGCGCGTGTTTGTGCAGTATATGAACGAAGAAGCAAATAAGCAGACGATAAAGTAGACAAAAATCGCAAGTAAATAAATGAATAAAAAGAAGAACGAGTAATGAAATAAAAATACTCGGGTCCCATTTCAACACTTGTGATACAAATGTAATATACTTTGAATGTCTGAACTTATATTTCAGATTGTGCTGAATTTCTTTTAAAGTGCTGCGAGCAACAGTCGTTGCGTAGCGCTTCAAAGTAATAACTCAATAGTAATAATCAACAGGAAGGACTTTCAGTCACAAAATTACGAAAAGCGTCAAGAATGCCGCGAGGACAAAAATCAAGAATTATAAAATTAATAAAGAAAGAAGGAGAATAAAACTCCAAGAGCATGATGCAAAATGTATGTGCAAAATGAATGAATGATGAAGCAAATAAGCAGACGATGAAACAGACAAGAATCGCCAGTAAATAGATAAAAAGAAGAACGAGTAATGAAGTAAAAATGCTCGGGCCCCATTTTAGCACTTGTAATATATACAAAAATGTAATGTATTACAGGGCGCTTCGTTTGACACCCCAAATGTGAGACAAATATTCTTTTTCTTCTTTTCCTTTGCTTGTTCGCCCCTTTTTCCTTTTCTTCCCCCCCCCCCTCCTCTTTTTCTAAAGAGTGCCATCGATCCGTTGTTGTGTATAGCTTTGAAGAAAAGCATATAATTGTAATAAAAATATTGAACCGATTCTTGCTTTTAATACCTAACCATTCATATCGTACGAGTGGTGTGAGTATTGCATATGAAAATCCGAAATGGGCGTTCGGAGCGTTGAAAAACAACAACGATCACAGTGAGGTCGATGGTGGGGAGAATGTGTTTACGTTTGGAAGATAGAGACGTGGATAAACGTCATAAAAACGATGTCGCGATAGAGTTAGTTAGTTAATCGCTGTTGGACGCCCGAAGCAGACGTGCCGTCGCCGCTCGTGCAGAAGGTCGATGAGTGTTAATCGAATCATTGTTTTCTAATATTCCACGGGTGGCCGGGATCGAGCATTGTTCCCTTACACAATTGGTTGATTCTCTTAATTCCGAATACCAGTGTCGTCGTGCGTTTCCCCGACTATCCGACGGACGTCTGAATTATATTATCGTTACGCTGTCTATTATTTTTTTTTGTGTTTACTACCTCGAGCTGCTAGTCTCATTCATTCGGCTCTATGTATAAAGTAAATAAACAAAAGAAGAAAGGTCACATCTCTAGGGACTCGTTCCCATGTTGTTCATACATCCTATACCTTACTCTTACATAAAGGAAAATGTCGCGTTTGTCTCGCGCTCGTACGTGGTTTTTTCGCCAAGATACGGGCGTGCAAAGCGCCGGGCGCGCCGACAAACGCGCGCGGTACATTGTAGTGCGCTCGCGCGGCGGCGACTTCGCACCACTTGCTTCACACCTCCTGCGGCGGATGGCAGGACGGAGCGCGACGCGCGACATCGTAGCCGGGCCTTTCTCGGTCCCATTCAAACGACTCGTCGGTAGCTCCGCGCGACGAAAGTGGCGCAACGAGGTGGGGCGAATCCATAGACTTATACAGATAGACTGCGCGTCCCGTGAGAGAACTTGAAGACAACATTAAAATGAGAGGAGCGATAGCTGAGTGAGTGTGCCTCTGTCTAACATGCGTCTTGGTGGGGGAAGCCGAAGAGGTGAATAGGAGGGCAGTTGTACGAGGAGCTGTACAAAGGTCATGGTTCGCAAATCAATTGATCTTGCTAGATTTAAAGTCTGGTTGCTTCAATCACTGTTACGACTTATCCGAAAAATAGAATAGGACAGAGAAACGCTTCGTAGCATTTGCAGCGGTCGCTGGACCGCACCCGACGTTACCTTTCCCCTTGTGTCATTTTCTCCTCTCTCCTAACCCAGAGCGAGAGAGAGAGAGAGAGAGAGAGAGAGAGAGAGAGAGAGAGAGAGAGAGAGAGCGCCTCACTCACACAATAGCTCTATCCTCTAATGTAGTCTTCAACGCGCCCATAAGGATGCGCTAAGTCTATCTATATAAGTCTATGGGCGAATCGCACTCGATTGTTGAGACTGTCCCGCTTCCGACGGTGAAAATAGAACCAGCTTCTAGAAGCTTCTTCGCTCGATCGTTGACAGTCTAGTCAACCTGCAGACCTGTTTTGGGGACTTTTAACGACAGCGTAACGATGACGACATTGTCGTTAAAGATTACGGAATAGGCCTGCAGCGGAATAGGCTAAATGCTCACGTACGGCAGCAGGCATTTTTCATCTCATCAGCTCGGTAAAATTATAATTACTTGGTTAGAAGACTTCAGCGGGGAACTCCGTAGAATTATAATTACTTCGTTAACATAGTGTGTACACAAGAAATATACATAGTATATACGTACAGCCGCATAAGTACTCTCTCGTTTATGGGCACTTTTGGCGTTCGGCCAGTGGGTAACGTTAATAAAGGGGAAAAAAGTGGTTAACCTCTCTCGCTAATATTATAGTCGTTTCCGGCGTCAACTATCTTCTCGTGGTTCTAATGAGGAAATGATAGTAGCGACATGCACGTGCAAGATTATTATTACAGCGGCATTGGAGCGACATTTAGCGTAGAAAATATTGGTTCTTTCGACCAGCGATACTTTCCGTGAGAATCAGTTGCTTAATTATTTACTAATTATTAATTGTTACCTCTCTTTTACATTAATTGTTCGATTATAAATAAAACAATTAAAAAAAATTAAATAAAAATAAAGTTCCGACTCGGAGTGACATGAAACCAGCCGCGTTGTAAAGAATATAATAATCTTTCACTGTAAAAATCACACACAGTACTCCCGCTTGACGAGAGATGTCGCTACTTGACTCTTAGAGACGCTCACTGCAGCCTCGATATGTTTGTATCTTCGTGTACCTTGGCTGATCGATTTGAATCTTTGGGTGCAATTACGTCGCTAAAAGCAAGATTAGAGCATCGCGCGGCAACTTCGCAGCATCTTGCGAACACACACACACACACACACACACACACACACACACGAGCGTAATTATGCCTTTCGCGACACGCACCGCATGTCTCAGGACACTTGGCTAACATCGATTACTTGTGATTGTTTCAGGCTTCCGCCGCCGCAACAGCAAGTGACGGTGGGCTCCCTAGGCAGCGGTTTAGGCGGCGCCGGAAATGGCGGTACCGCGACAGTAGGCGCGCAGAGCCAGAGCATGGTGATGCCGGGTTTTCCACTTCGCGCCGCCGCGGTGCCGCACTACTCGCCGTACTCGCCGTCGCGCTTTCACATCGACAAGCGCTGTCAGCACAGATGCTCCTGGAAATGTTGCTCGATCACGCTCATCCTCGTGGCGGTCGCGCTGACGGCGATGCTGGTGTACTTCGCTAGTAAGTAAAGCATAACCGTCGCGCATTAAGATTCCGCCCCGGGTCCGTCCTCCCGATTCGCTGACGATTTGCGCAAGATCGTATATATACGATATACGAGCTACGACGACTAATTCTCCTGGCACTCGGACGACAGTTCGATTGGATTAAGGCTGGAACGTCTGGGAGGTAGGTGTACGTTCGGGCTGTCGGGGGTGTCAACCGCTGGAAGCCCGCTTCACCAGTCGATGATGATTTTCCGGGCGGTTCGATCCGACAAAGACCGGGCTGCTTATTGACGACAGATCCGCGCGCGGCGTTTCGTGTCGACGTGTATTCGATATCTAGATATCGATTGGATATCGACAGATTATTAATGATCCGCTTGATTATTGATATCTGTTATATCCAGTTGAGCCTCCATATTTGGATATATCGATTCGACTGAATATTATAGGAGCTGAATAGCGACTGGATCGCCGACATCTGTATCTTTGAATATCGCGACGAAATTTTCGAAATATCAAATTGGTTGTTGAGATTTCTCCGCGTGGCTTCTACCGGACTTTTTAGCGACTTGCGGACACGCTTCTGCCGGGCTCGCTTTACGGTAACCTCGTCGGTTTTGCCGGCCGCGCAGAGAAAAGTATCCCAGTCGGTGCGATTTAACGACGGCCGGGCGAGAACTCGGTGACGAGGAGCGACGTCTCCGCGGCTGAAAACTTTCGTCTGAACACTCGGTCACGTGAGAACTCTCGGTTCAGATAACGGGGAGCAATTGACTGAGCGGAAACCTCCTCCAGGAGGAGTCTTTCCGCTCTCTCACGGCAGCCGAGTTCTCGTCCGGCAGCAGAAAATTCGGCTGCACCGATGAAGTTGATTTTCCCGGGTATCCTGGCGCGATGATGACGGTGGTGGTGGTGGTGGTGGTGGTGGTGGTGCTGCTGGTGGTGGTTATGGTGGTGATGGTGGTGGTGGTGGTGGTAGGGGCGATAGTGATGGTGGTGGCGGTGACTATTTAGCGCGACGGCTGCATAAATAATATTTGGCCCGATGTAAATTTGCGGCAATCGTTTTTATTAATCCCCGAGCGCACGTCCCAGTCTGTAACACACCGTGCCAGATAGTTCGCGCAATTCTATCGCCAGCTGACCCGAAATTCACGGTACAATAATTCATTATTAACTTGCAAATCTGGTTACGACTAACCCAACCCACCTAATACACTAAAATCCATCGGAACGTCGGCATTACCGCGCGATGCTAATCCCCGTGCGCGCACAGAGGGGGATTATACGTACGACTGACACCCCATAATGGTCCACATGAAAGCATGACGAATTTCGCGTATCTAATCATGGAAAGCGCAGTTAGGACGAGAGCCGTAAATATTAGCGGGCGCGTTGTACTTCCTGCCCGCGACCCCATCCTTCCTCCCCATCTCCCTCGGTTCGTCGGGAGAAAGGCCGAAACGAATCACAACTGTGATTATAAAAGTAGCTTCCGGTGTGTTCCTCTCACGTGCGGTCGCGCAGTTCGGGCAGCTTATTGAAAGTTCACCGGACGAAAAATGGCGCGCGAGACGAACGAAGCATGAAATTAACAAAACGTTGGTACACAAAGGAGTCAATTAAATGCGAGGGAGGGTGAACTATATCTAAAGTATCGTGTGCATCGCAACTGTTAGTTTCGTTCGTAAAAAGGCACGCCGTGTACTACTACCTCTCCGGTGCATTGGCATTTTTCCTTTTTCACAACGGCCGGGCTTATAACACCGCCGCATCAGCATTATTTTACGGTTGACGTTTAAACGGTGAATTTTTTTGCGGCCGAAGCAGTTTTAGGTTTTGGCTCGCAAAAACGGCTCGTGGAGCCCGTTTCATTTCGCGCTGCCGGGCGTCGAAAGTTTCGTTACCAAAAGAGAGGGAGAGGGAGAGAGAGAGAGAGAGAGAGAGGGAGGACGCGGTTGCATCGTCGCAAAATACCGGGACGCTTTGCGTGTTGACAGAATTATTCGTACGTAGTGTCTCGGCTCTTTTCAGGCACATCGAGGAGGAATCTTTACGTAACGGAGGAGCTCGCGCGTGCAAATGTAGAGGAGAAAAAACGATCACAAAAAAAAAAGCGCTCGCATCACGCGCGAATCACAAGCGTGCTGCGTGTGTAACATTTAACGCGCTCGCGTTTTTCTTTCTTTTTCGCTCTCGGCAGCAAACGCCGATATATTTGCCGTGAATTTTAAATTTAGCTCTCCTCTCGGGCTTGATTATGATTGCTCGCCGTCCGCGAAACATTATCCGCGCGTAGTGAAAAGTGCAATCGACCGCGATAACGCGGGCGATACGTCGGCTTCGCTGTGAAATTAGATATCGTTTAACGGCGGAAGTCCGGATCTTGGGTAGGAAGTGCGGCAGTGGCGTAACACCGCCCCGGCGTAATAGTTCATTTAACGCGCGGGGCGCTTGACTCCATCCGGTTAGGGAGAGGCAAAAATATTGTCCGCCGATAGCGGGGAGAAGCGCATCGCGGACAGGACGAACGCATTCGTACGTCGATATACCGTTTATGCCCCACTAATAACGTGTCCGTCAATAGGGGGGCCGCGAAAGGCACGGAAACGTGCGGGTTATCTCGTCGGACATCTGTCGGGACGTCGACGGAGAGAGCGAAAGAAAGCAGGCGGGGGGAGGGGGGGGCAAGAGAGAAAGCCCGTAATCAATTTCGTACTTTTCGCTCCGCAAAGTCGAGTCGCACTCGCCGGCGAGAGTGACGCCGACGTCGAATCGTTACACCTGAAATTAGCGAAGCTGTGCGTCTTCGCGGAATGAATCGGACAGTTCGCGCGGGGCAATGGCCTGACCGACGGGACGCACAAATCGATAACTCTCTGCAACTAACGGCGCACTAACTCGGTACAGCCGGGCCCGGCTGACATCTCGGCAAACTTTGGTTACATAAATCGGCGATAGGCCGGCCGCGGTAGATGCGGACGCGTGAAATCTTACCGCAGGACGTGTCGTCGTTCGAGGAACGCCGCGATCGGTATCGCCGGTAAAGCCACCGTTAAGCTTCGCATGGGGAAAAGCGGAAAAGGAAGAATATTCTAAGGGCGATATTCGCAGTCCGCGTTTGTCTTGTGTTTGAGGTAAACCCTAAGTAAAATTTTTATTCCATTATTTTCGTTGATCGCTACACTGAGAGAAAAGTATATGATATTTGGAACTATAATGATATATAGTAATTAAATTATGGTCCAAAATATCACATTTGTAGTAAGTATTACCATAATATCGGTAATAATAATTTCGATATAGGCATAGTATAACCAACCATATAATATTTTTACTAAGAATTATAGTAAGTTGAACTAAAATTATTGTATGGATACAAATATAAAATGGTAGGTAAAAGTAACTCTTTTATATAGTCAATATTACCAGAATATTTGCTAAATGATGACAGATGTAACTATATGAATATTAAATCTCACTATATTTGTGAATGAGAAATTACCATATATATGGTAAAAGTAACTAAATAATTATTTAAGACAATCATTGGCCATATATTTGTGTTTATTCTACTATATTTCGCAGCTTTCCACGAACTATAAAATAAATAATATAAATAATAAAGATATGGTTGACGCCAAAATGAACTATAAAATATAGTGAGATTATAGTTAATTCAACTATATTTTTCTATCAGTGTACAAAAATGCCCGCGGTTCTTGACGCAGCAATATTCCCAAAGATTTTCCTCAAGAAGATTGTATTAAGGGTACCGGAGAGTCTTTTCGTTCTTTTAACCCTTTAATTAGCGCAAAGATAAGTTTGATCTTGATGAAAATTGATATATACTATAAAGAAATATTACTAATTAATTTAGAATCATAATTAAATTTCCTTCAATTAATGTAGCAATATTATAATTGCGCTAATTGAAGGATTAAAAAAACGAAAAGACTCTCCGGTATCCCTAATATAATACTTGTGAAAGATGAAAGATTTTAAAGATTAATTATACCCCAAATATCCCGACGATTACGATTCGAATGTCTACAGACGGTCGATAATGTTATCCTTCTTCACTTTACCCATCAGGCCTTGTTTGTGGCCATGAGAGTTCGCCCAGTGGGCTGACGCTCCCACAAACATCATCTCGTCTCGACTGGCTGTTATCAGCGCGCGACGTGAGTTTTTGCATTCCGCGGGAGATCCGCGAGGACGACGGTCAAGGTCCGTCTCGCGGACGTATTAGACTTTATCATCCGAAGTTGCAGGGACTAAAGGGATTTAGCAGAGAAAGAGAAGAATACGAGAGCAAGAGAGCGGGCCGCATTGTGTCCCGCGAATCTATGTAACACCCCTTTGCCCCGCCGCGCTCGGACTACCCTCGGCCGCCCGTAGAGTCCCCTATGGAACTGTCGTCCCTCTCATCCCTCTTTTCCCCTCGCTGCGACTTGAACGCGTCCGTAGCCACCGTTCTTCTTCACCCCCCCCCCTCTACCCCACCCCACCCCACCCTCCTCCTTCGCGTCGTCCCGCTCGTATCGCGGAAAGAGGTAGGAAGAAGAGATGGAGGAGATTGCGAAGTCGGTTCTCTCGGCCTCGAGGAGACTCTGCTCGCCAGCTGTTATTTCTGCATTCCAGTAAATCGAGTCTGGAATCCAATCTGCCTGTTTGCTACTGCATCCACACTATCCCTCCCCCCAGCCAACCAGCCCTCGCGCACGGGTCTTTTACGATCGGTGGCGGGTCCGTCGTCTGTGTACACTCGCGTGTCCGCACACGCAACGTGCGCGTTTTCTTTCGCTCTCACACACGACGAGCAAGCGCGAACGAGGCCCTGCGAACTTTTCCTCTAGCTTCTGCGCCGGATTTCATCCGTTCCTGCTTGGCACTCTCTCGTGAAACGCGCGGATTTTGCATGCCATCTCGGAGTTGCCGCGCCGCACCTTTCGATAATTCGACATTGTGCACTTCACTTTATACCCCCGGCGGTTAGATCGCCGCTGAGAT